AATAAAACAAATACCTGTGAAGTCACCACCTAGTTTCATACATTGCCAGTATCTTACAGGCTTCCTGTGTGCCCCTTCCTGACTGAATACGCTTCCTCCAACCTAAACTTCAAAATAAAAGATGTTTTGAATTTTGTGTTAATCATGCTCTTGCTTCTCTTCCTAGTTTTATCACCCATATATTTATCCATAATCAATGTTAATTTATGTTTTAAAAGTTTATATGAATAGAAAAAAGATCATAATACAAAAAAGTTTATATGAATTGGAATTATACTGTTTTTATTCTTTTATGACTTGCTGCTTTTGGCTTAGTGATATTTGTGTTGACATTACTCAATAATTTCCATTATTTTGTAGTAGTCTGTTGTATGACTATACCATATTATTGTGTTCACAGTTTTTTTCTTTTTCAAATAATTACAATAATTCTTGCTTTTAACTAGAAACATTAGTCAATTTGTATGTATTGACATTACTGGTTACTTGCATATATTTCTACCATCATATTACATGTATTCTATTTGTCCCATTTTTTTCTGTTTCCTTCCTCCCTCCCTTCTGTTATGCTAAAAACTGATTATGTTTTTGGTTTGCTGTGTTGTATTTGTTTTATTTTTCTCTTTCCATTTTTTCCTTTTCTAATAGTTTAGAAGTTACATGCTATATGGCTATTGTTTTAGTTGTTATATTAAGGGTTTTAACATATTTACTTAACTGAAATCTTTGTTACTCCTGAGAAATCTGAAAATTTTATGGTGCTTTACACTGTTTTTCTCTCCTCAATGTGTATTTTTTTTTTTTGCATCCTGTATTGGTTCTGTCCTTTATTTTCAACCCTATAAATTAGATTCTTAAAACTAATTAATGCTTAATTAAATATATTCACATATTTACTATTACTTTTTGTCTTTTTAATATTCCAGACTTAGTTCATCTTCTTTCTATGAGAAGTACATTCTTTAGAATTTTCTAATTTCAAATTATTTTTTTTAAAGAATTTTATTTTTAGAGAGAGGGAAAGGAGTGAGGGAGAGAAACATCAATGTGTCATTGCCTCTCGTGCATCCCCAGGGGACCTGGCCGGAAACCCAGGCATGTGCCCTGTGCCCTCAATCCACTGAGCCACACCAGCCAGGGCTATTTTCAAATTCTTTTAACACTCTAACCAAATGAGCTACCTGACCAGGACTAGAATTTTCTTAAATGAGGGCCTATTGGTGGTAAATTCAGTTTTTGTTTGTCTAAAATGTCTTTATTCTACTCTTAATCTAAAACATTAATTTCATTCAGTATAAAATTATAGTTGACATTTACCATATTTCCTTGATTTGAAGAAACACTACTTTTTAATGCACCATTATGAAACTTAAAAGCTTCTAGCTAAACTATCTACAACATGATGTGGCATCAACTTTTAGATGCACCCCAACTGCAGAGATGTGAAAATTTGTGGCATTAGAGTCAATAAAATGTGATATATTTTTCTTACTACTTAAGTTATCATTCTGTTGTTTTCTAGCTTCCATGTTACTGTTGAGAAGTTATTCACCAGTCCAATTGCTATTCTTTTAATTATCTGTCCTTTGTATCATCTGCTTTTTAGATCTCTAAATTGTAGTTTCATTATGAGTGTACAGGTAAATACTTTTTTTTTACTTTTCTTGGGATTTGCTAGACCACTTACATTGGTATCTTTTAACAATTCTGTACAATTCTCATTCTTTTTTTCCCATATTTAGTCTTTATATATATTGTACTTTCACAGAGAAAATCAAGAAAACAGGATCTATATTCTTTTGGTATAGCCCATATAGTACAGGCAAGAGTGACCTCTCAAGCATTCATAAGGAATACTATAATAGTAGGGAGCATGAGTTCTGGGGCAAGGCTGTCTATATTCAAAACGTAGCTCCATATCTTACTGGCTATGTGACCATGGATATGTTATTACACCATCTCTTTGCTTCAGTTTTTCCAGGATCCCCAAGTTACACAATTGCAGGGGAACACTCACACTGGATTCTGGTTTCCTTATCTGGAAAACGGAGATAATTTTCAGGATTTCACTTTTAAGAGTTGTGCACATTTAACAAGTGAAATCAGTCAAGTACTTAGTGCCTGGCAAACATTAACTAATTAGCTATTATTATATTATTACTACAACTACTACTAAACTACAACTAGCATTTCTAATGCAAACATCAATAAAACCCCCTTTTATCAATAGCCAATGGAGCTCTGTTGGTGAAGTACATGAGATGTCCAAGAATCATGAGAGAATTGGGGCTGAAAATATGACAAAGGCACACCGAGCCCCCTTTCTGTTTTTCTGGTTGGTTACAAAATTTTCTTGAATGCATCGATGTAAACATGCTTTAGGGTCAACCATATGTTTTGATCTCAACAAATATATATTAAAGCAAATGTTTAGAATTGAAAACAAAGTTATAAATCACAAATTCTACTTCTTTTACAGAGCAGGAAATAGGCCATTCTGAGAAGCCGACGACTTGCTTCCACTTAGTCACTGAGTTCATGATGGCGCTAGAAGCATGGGAATGAGAACCCCTGAACTCGACTCCCCCTCTAACGCCTTTCCCACTTCTCTCTCAGAAGCTTTCTCTTTACAGTCTAGCTGCTAAAATGCAACTCAATATACTTCATTTAATACTTATTTAGCATTCAATTTACAGCTCTATAAGGGGAAAAATTTATAATGAAAAAGAAAAATACAATTCTCTTTCTCATTCTGAAAAATTCTGCTTTGCCACAGAGATAGCAAAACACTTGTGCATGTGCACACACACAAACCCCAAAAGTACTACCTTTGAAGATAAGAAATACCAAATTTAACTAAGTTTTAAGAAATGGTATGTGCTAGAAAGCAAAAGCAAGGACACCTGAAAAGTAATTTTATTTTTGTTTAGCCTTAAGCGTGTCGATTGCTTCTTTCCTTAAACACCTTTATCTTGTTTGATACCCAGCTACACTCATATTGGAAACTTAGTAAAAACTACTTAGTGATTCCACCTGGAATTTATAACCATACAACTAAGATGTTTTGAATAAAAGCCTATCCATATGCCAGATAAACTTTAAGAACTCTTATTATCTCTTCTTTTACAGAAGCTCTCTCTATCCTGGTGTAGAGTGATTAAGGGCCAGAAAGCTGACTTCCTTAAATGATACAAAATTTTAAAAGTTTCCCAACTACCACTATGTAAATAAGAGATCTCTCTTTCAAATACAAAATCAAGTTCCTCAGCTGTACAATGAATTGTAATTTAATGGTTTTTCTCTTACTACTTCACTTTAAACAGTGACCTATACATTTGTTTAAGCAATAATAAATTTCAGGTTTCTTCAGAATAGGAAAATAAAAAGTCATATGTGTTAGAGATACTACTAAGAATATTTCACCTATCAAATACATGGCCTGTGCATTGAAACATAGAAATTTTTTCAATTAATTTTCAAATCTTACAGAGCCTCCATCTTATATCATCTTTGAAATAATTTGAATGCTTTAACAAAAACTGATTCATATGTCCCTATTACCATAATCATCAGTTTTAACAAGTCTCCTAAATATGTTCTTCATCAGTTTTCTTGATTATTAGATGTCAATAATATGGAAATATTTTTGATAAAACAGAACATTTAATTACATCAGTTTCCCTTCAACACACAAGTCATTTGATGATGATTAAAATGGCCATTTCCATTGGTTGGCAGGAGGCTTTTCCACTAAACACTCCCATGGTTTCCACTGTATCATTTTTCTCACCAGACTTAGTTCATTTTCAGCCTGAAGAATCACCTCTTCTACTGGCCACCCTGAAGTCGGTCTTCTAATTTTTTAACATCTGGTTCCAGCTTCTCATTTGTAATCTGTTCTGTGTACTTTCCATATGCTGCATTTTTAGGGATTTGCTCAAGAACATCAACAATTTTTGTGTACAATATTCTTAGCCTCTTGTGCGGACTCTCACATACTGCCAGCCCCGCAAGGCCAGTAGTCGTCTTTAGCGTGCCCGCCGTGACAGTGCCGAAGAGCGGAGTATTCTTCTAAGACATTCTTCACATATTGCCTCCACCCCGTTCTCTAAATTATAGCTACCTTGCAGTCCAGTTAGATGTATGATAGACTTCTTATTTTATTCTCTGTGTCTTTAAAACTCTCACATTTATCATTTATATTTTTTCTATGTGTTGTCTTCTCGATAATTTCTTCATACTTATCTTTATTTCTTAAATTTTACTTATTAATTTTAGAGGAAGGGGGGAGAGAGAGAGAGAAACATTGATTTGTTGTTCCACTTTATGCATTTGTTTATGCATAGGAATTGGTTACTTCTTGTATATGTCTTGACCAGGGATCAAATCTACAACCTTGACATATGAGGACAATGCTCTAACCATCTGAGTAGCCTGCCTGGGTTTCATACTCATCTTTAAGACTTACTTATTCTTTAGATTGTAAGGTGTCCATTCAACTTTTAAATTAAAATGTTTACACTTATCATTTCTAGAAGTCTTATTTGATTGTTTTTCTTATATGGTTATTCTTTGTGGTCTCTTGTGACTTATATTTTCAAAGTTCTGTTTTATTTCTTTAAACAGTTATATGGTCATTTTGCATTCTCCTGTGCAAGTCTTTGCTCCAATTGGTTGACATAACATTCTAAAACCTGATAACTATAGAAAATATTTTTTTTCTCTTGGCCATTAAGCACCATGTGATACACTCATACACTTTTTAGAGATCTAGGTTAATACATTTTTTTGTTTCATTTGAATCATATAAATTTTGTTCCTACCAAAAGTTATACTAATTACAACATAGAACATTACACACCCTCTTGACAATAGGGGGAGATAACTGTAATAAAAGTAAGTACATCCCTAATTTTTACCCTCAGGTGTGGAAGAAACAAAATTGTGGTTGATTTACTGAAATTGGGGTTTTTTGTTTGTCTGTTTAATCCTAACCCTACATGCCCCAACTGGGGCCAAATTCACAACCTAGGCAAGTGCCTTGACCAGGGATCAAATCCACGACCTTTCGGCTCATGGGATGACACTCCCACCAACTGAGTCACACTGGTCAAGCCTGAGATCAGGTTTTTTAAAAAATCAGTTTTGACATATGGATCCTTTCCAGTCGTTTAATTGCTCACTCATTAACTTGAACTTTATAAAAGTTAATTATTTTTACTGTTTATTGTATTACAATTGTTCCTGCTTTTTTTCCCTTTCCCCTCCCAATCCCCTCTCTAGGTCAATCTTCATATTACTGTTCATGTCCATGTGTTGTGCATAAATGTTCTTTGCTCAATTCCTTCACCATCTTTCATCTTGTCTTTCTCCTCCTTTCCAGCAGCTGTCTGTTTTATGTATCTAAGCTTCTGTTACTATTTTGTTTATTATTTGAAAAATCAATTTTGTTTGATGATAATATATAGGAGTTACTTTGTAAACAAAAAAATAAAATAATTAGTGGTAAAGCTTTCATCAACGACCTTCTAATCAAGTTTTTATAAAGATTTTATTAGATGTGAATTAAATTTTCTCAAAACATTTTATGCTTGTCTTCTTGATTCTGTACTCTCAGAAATAATGTCTATTTAAATGTGCTACATTTACTTATGGCTGGTGTTTTAAATAAGTTGTCAAGTAAGAATTCTTGAAAAAAAAATGCAAAGTAGCCTTTTAAGTCAACATGTTACTTGCTATTTTCCCAAGACCAATTGTGCTAGAATAGCACCTTAAAATGAATGTTTTAAAGTTGTATTCTATTTAGAGCTACTTATTTGTGTTTGTAGGGGCTAGAACATTCTGGGTTTTGATCTACAGACTACGTGTTTAGTTTATTCGCAATTTCTCTTTGTAGGCTTGTTTTGATCCACCTCTTGAAGTGATTTCCACCAGGAACCCAATTATGTACAACAAAAAAGCAGCTGACCCAGTCCATCCTGACCTTGCTGGTTTGTTGGTGAAAAACAAGAATCTTTTAGCTGAGGTATATGAGTTATCTGAAAATAAAACACAATGGGAAAGTATATCCTCTATAAAAGTAGGGGAAAAAGCATCCTGATAAACGGTTCAAAGTATTATCTCAGTTCAGTCTTGCTTTTTTGTCAATATTAAATTCTCTTATCACTGAGGAGCATTTAGACCTGAATCTGTCTTTTGCCAGATGGTACCTAGTTAAATGCTTTTAAGTTGACTGCCAAATGCTAGGATTTTAGAACATTGCTTATTAGCTGCCATGCTCAAAATTTATGTAATAATAAGTTACACATATTAAGCATTTTTAATTGAAAGGATGAGTCCCCATTTTTAATATAGTACCAAATGGCAAATATCCATTAGTCTTATTTAATACTTGATGAAATATCTGAGTAACATCAACAGATGAAAAAGAAACCACATTTGTAGGAAATGTCTTGACTTTTATTTCCTGTGATGAACTAGAAAGTGCTTGTAAGAATTTTTTAGTTGAGCCCAAGTACCTCAGGATGTTCGTTGCAGGAGACAGTTTTATAGGTAAACATGGATGGAGGCCCAAAGGCCATTGGCAGTGTTAAAGGTACTATGATATGGTTACTTATGTCTGTGCTGCTTCTAAGGTTACCACCTGTAAGTACAATGTTCTGAGTGTTTACACCTGGGTCACTGACCAACCCATTGAATAAGGAGTTATCTATTATATCTGTATTAGTTTTCTAGGGCTGACAAAGTACCATGGATTGAGTGGCTTAAACAACAGACGTTTATTTTCTCACAGTTCTAAAGGCTAAAAGTCCAAGACAAGTTGTCAACAGGATTGGTTTCTTCTTTTTTTAAAATGCTTTTTCCAACTTTATTGTCATATAATTGACATATAACATTGTATAAACTTAAGGTATACAACATGATGAGTTGGTATATGTTTATGTTACAAAATGATTAGCACAGTAAAGTTAATTAACACTTTCATCACCTCACATAATTACTGTGTGTATGTGTGTGTTGAACAGGTTGGTTTCTTCTGAGCCCTCTTTTCTTGGCATGTTAGATGCCCATTTATTTTTTGTGTCTTCACATGGTTTTCCCTCTGAAACAGTTGCCAAATTTTCTGTTCTTGTAAGAACATCACCATATTGAATTAGGACCCAACCTGAAGATTTCCTAACTTAATTACCTTTTTAAAGACCCTATCCTGAAATATGGTCACATTCTGATGTTTGGGTATTGGGAAACGCCCTGTATGGTTTCAGGAACTGTAACCCCGCCGACAGGCGGGAGGGCCCCAAGGCTGGAAGTAATCAGGGAGGCCTTGGAGAAACAGGCCCCCGAGGAGACAACTGTAGCAGGGGCATAGCTCCTGCCTCTCTGCTTGGCCCTGTGATGGTCGCTTGTTGACGACAGGTAAGGCCCCTCGATGGAGGGGCAAACTAAGCCAGACGTCGACCAGTATGGGAAGCAGACAAGAAATTTGGGGACATAGAGAAAGGACAAAAAGGCCCACACCCCTTGGCTCGGCTTGGATATGGCCGGAGTCCTCATTCTATCTGAAAGAAGTCTCCTTGTGTCTTGGTGGCTCCCTCCCACCTCCTGGCTCAGGCTCGAAACAATACCAGAGATGGTCTTAGACCAGATCTGGTGGTTCCCAGGGAAATCAGGCCTAAAAGTAAATTCTCTAAAGTGTCCTTTGTTTTGCCCTCAGAAGCTACAGCCAGCTCATGCTGGGAAGGAAACTTACATTATTCACAGACCCTAACCTTATAACCTTAGGCAATCTTATGGTTACTATCCTCTCATGTTTAGTCATCTCTCTTGTTTACGAGTCTCCTTTCAGACCCATGTAAATCGTTGTGTTCCTGCCATTTGTTTCTTTAAAACATCACCTATTCTCTGTAAACATTAACATACTGATGTAATGAGATACCTTGTGCATTCCTGTTACCTAGCCCCACTGATAACCCTTTCAAAAAAAGCCTTTGCACAAAGGGACTCTGGGCCTTCCCCACTAGGGGGATGTGCCATGTCCTCTCTCTTGGCAGAGAAATATTTGCAATGACTCCTGTTTATTCCCCCCATCCATGACACCCGTGGGAGGAGCTCTGTGGGATTCAGAGTCCCTGGTCCCATCTCAGCTGGCCCCAGACGGTAACCCTCATCCTGGAGCACAGCACCCCCACTAGGCTCTGCGCGACATTTGGGGGCTTAGGACTTAAACATAAGAATTTTGAAGGGACATAACCTGTGATGGTGGCTTTATTCCTTGGGGCGTCTTTTCTACCCATGACCTCATTAAAGTTCTTTTCTGGTATCTCACCTACCAACAGCCTGACCCCAGGTTTCATTTAAACAGACAAAAATATCAATATAGATATATGGGTAAAACATGAGGTCTGTCCAAAAAGTATCCATCCATGCACTATGAAAAATAGAGACATTCATTGACTAAAAATAACAAGATACAAGAAACATTGTACATAGGACAATGCCACCTCAGTCCCCTTCAAAATAGCCACCTTGGGACCTCACGCAGTTCTCCCAGCATCTCTTCCACTATTCAAAACACTGCAAAATCCTATCTTGAATGACTCTCCACTGGTCCATTGTGTTTTCCTGAATCTCATCAACGGTCTGAAATCTCTTCCTTTTCAAAAGTGATTTGAGTTTTGGGAAAAGCCAGAAGGTGTAGGGCACCAAATCTTGGTTGTAGGGGGTTGAGTTCAACATTCTCAGGTGTTCTGCTTGTTTCAGGCCTTCCAGAACATGGATCACTTTCAACAAATTCTTGACCATCTTTGAAGCATTTGTGCCATACCTTTAACTTGTGCTGCACCCTTTACTTGATCCCCAAAAGGCGTCTGAATCATCTGAATAGTTTCCACATAACAATGTTCAAGCTTAATGCAAAACTTGACACAGATTTGTTGCTCTACTAGCTCAGTCATTTTGAATTTGATAGCCACATGGTACACATGCTCACTCAATGTCATCTACCACCCCCATTGACAAGTACAGTGAAGTTCTCCTTGTTCATGCACGTGCATTCCAGCCCACTCTCCTTGGCTGCCAGGATGCATCAATGTCGCTCAAACCATTCTTGTTATATTAACAATGGCTGTATGTTTTCCTTGTATATTTTCAATGTTATTTATGCTAATATTTGCCCTCTTTTAGCACAGAGAGGTAGATAGAGGTTAAATTAAATGGAGTTTATATAGATACAGTAAATCTTATGACACTGGGGAGATTTCTTAATTTATCTTTTTTTTTTTTTTTTTTTTCAGAAAAATGCAATGCCAATCCTTGAAAACTGTAGCAATTTTACTATGGGTAGCATTGTTCTCCTCCTCCGTATAATTTACTGCTAATACTTAAGAAGTTTGGGATTTTTGGTAATTCATATGTGAATTAGATTAAGTTTATGTCTATGCCTAATTTATTTGAAAAAATCTTTTAAACCAAATTCCAAAAAAAACCACACAGGTTTTAAACCTTGTTTAAAGAAAATATGTAAGCTTTTTTTCAAGAATTTCAAAGTACTTTTTTTTCTTCTCAGGCAAGGACATTTCTTCACTGCTGAGAGAGAGGGAGAGACAGAGAGGGACATTAATGTGAGTGAGAAACAGGTTGACTGCCTTCTCATATGTGTCCCAACTGGGGATTGAACCCACAAGCTGGATATGTGCCCTGACCAGGAATTGAACCTGTAATTCTTTAGTCTGTAGGACAATGCTCCAACCAACTGAGCCACACCAGACAGGGCTTAAAGTACCTTTAAAAGGAATTATCTACATGTACATAAATCATTTGGTAACTATAAATACTATAAATCTATTTGTCAAAGCAGGTATCTAAAAGGCTCTACGAAGTTCTCATTTTGACGTCGTTTTAACTGCTATATATATATATGTGTATATGTGTGTGTGTGTATATATATATATATATATATATATATATATTAGAGAGTATTCCATAGCTCATATTTGTATTCTCTGAATTAAAAAAAAAAATTAGTGACAGTTATTGCATGGCTTTCCTGTATTAAAGTTATTTTTTTTAAAGACCAGTGGCCTGGCAGATGTGGCTCAGTTGGTTGGAGCATTGTCCCATAACCAGAATGTTGTGGGTTTGACTCCCTGTCAGGGCACATGCCTAGGTTGTGGGTTTGATCCCCGGTCCAGGTGCATAAGGGGGGCAACCAATTAATGTTTCTCTGTAACATCGATGTTTCTCTCTCTCCATTTCTTTCTAAAAGAAATGGAAAAAATAATGTCTTTGGATGAGGATAAAAATAAAATTAAAAAAGAACTATAGTGATTTCAACAGAATACCTTCAGCATGAGCCATCTTTTTCTTTTCCAATAACCTATTATTTAATCCTACAGAAACACAATTGTCTTTATAAGGCAGTTTTTCTCTTCACTGAATGCATTTAAAATTTTTTGTTATAATTATCTCTTTGTGGAACATACAAAAATAATTATCATATGTTTCTTCCCAGTAGTGAAGAACAGGTGCAATAGAGCTATCTATATCTAAGAAAAGCCAGGTATAGTCGGGATAACGATTAAAATAGTCAGTTGGTGATTGTGTTGTCTAGTTTAGACAATATGACAGCTAAAAATCTTGCACAGTGCTAGATGGGATGCTGTAATAATAAATGAGTTAAAAACTTGTTAAAAATATATCTGGTGATATGTATAAAAAGGTCTAGTGTATTACATTTAAGATAAATTTAATGTACTTTGCCAGTACTTTAAAATTTGATTTTTCATGATAACTTTTGTGAGGGCAATATGACTATGTTTATGCTGGTAGGATGTTTTTCTTCCCTTAATATAGTAATAAGGCAAATAGTACAAGCCTGGTAGACACAGCCAGCTCTGGAGGGGATGAATGCAGGTAATATAAATTTTGCAGCTAAAGAAAAATATATATCAGGACAAGTTAGTAATTTTAATTGAGATAATTGTAGATTCACTTGTGGTTTAAAGAAATGAGAGATCCATTGTATACTTTGCCCAGTTTCTTCCAATAGTCAGATTTTGCAAAACTATAGTATAATGTAACAATCTGAATATTAAGATTGACACAATACAATCCACCAATCTTATTCAGAATTTCCCAGTTTTACTCATACTCCTTTCTGTGTTTGTTTTTATTTTGTTCTAAACAACCCATCATGACCACTGAACAGTTAATTTCAACACCACTAAGATCATTTTGTTGCCATTTTATATCTACTCCCACTTCCTTCCCACCCTCAACCCCTGGCAACCACTAGTCTCTCCTCCTTTCCTAAAATGTCATTTCAAAATGTATACTCAAAAACATAAACATAGTGTTACCATATGACCCAGCCATCCCACATTTAGGTAGATACACAAGAGAATTGAAATGTATATTCACATAAAAACTTGTAAATGAATGTTCATAGTAGCACTATTCATAGAGCCCAAAAGTGGAAACAACCCAAATGCCCACCAACTAATGAATGACTAAGTAAAAGTGTATATCCACACAGTAGCATTTTACTCAACCACAAAAAGGAATGAAGTGCTGATTCATGCTACAACATGGTGAACCTAGAAAACAGCATGCTAAGTAAAAATAAACCAATTACAAGAAACAACATATTGTATTTCATTCACATAAAACGTCTGGAAGAAGCAAATCCACGGAGAGAGGGAGGGAGAATCTGAGTGGTTGCCGGGCTGAGAGAGGGAGAGGGGTGAACGGGGAGTAACTGCTAACGGGTGTAGGGTTTCTTTAGGGGATAATGAAAAGGTTCTGGAATTAGATTGTGGTGATGGTTGCACAACTTGTGAATATACTAAAAACTACTGAGTTGTATCCTTTAAAGAGTAAATTTTATGGTATGTGAATTATATCTCAATTTTTAAAAGTGAAAAATAAAACAGTTCAATGTGGTCATACAACTCTATGAATATACTAAAAACCATGCAACTGTATAGTTTAAATGGGTGACTTTATGAATTATATCTCAATAAAGCTGTTAAAATCTTATATAAATAGAATCATATATATGTAATTTTGGGGGATTGGCTTTTTCACTCAGCATAATTTCCTGGAGATTTATTCAATTTGTTGAATGTATTAATGGTTTGGTCCTTTTTATTGCAGAGTCCATGGTGTATATGTACTAGTTTGTTTAACCACTCACTTATTGACAAATATCTGGGTTGCTTCCAGTTTTTTGGCTATTACAGATAAAACTTCTATGGACATTCATGTATAGGTTTTATGTGAACATAACTTTTTGTTTCTCTGGGATAATTCCCTAAAAGTTCAGTAGCTGGGTCAGAAGGCAACTGCGTGTTTAGTTTTTAAGAAACTGCCAAAGTATCTTCCAGGGTGACTGTACCATTTTACATTCCATCCAGAAATGTGTGAGTGACCCAGTTTCTCCTCATCTTTGCCAGCATTTGGTATTGTCACTACTTTGTGTTTTATTTTGTTAAAGATTTTATTTATTTATTTTTAGAGGAGAGAAGAGAGGGAGAAAGAGAGGGAAACATCAAATGTGTGGTTGCATTTTGCACGCCCCCTGCTGGGGACCTGGCCTGAAACCCAGGCATGTACCTTGCACTGGAAATTGAACTGGCAACCATTTGCTTCACAAGCCAGAGCTCAGTGTACTGAGCCATGCCAGCCAGGTCCCCAGCAGGGGGCATGCAATACTATTTTGTATTTTAGGTATCCAATACAGGTGTAATATCTCATTGTGGCTTTAATTTGCATATCCCTAATGGTTGATGATGTTAAACATATTTTTATGTGCTTATTTGCCATCAAATATTCTTTCTGATAAAGTTTCTATTCAAGTCTTTTGCCCATTTTCTAATTGCATGTTTTCTGAGAGTTTAAAATTATTTACTCTAGATACAAGTGCTTTGTTGACAATTTTTTTCAACAGGGCATATCTCACTTTAGGGGTTCCTAGATTTAGCTAAGTCCTGGACATATTTTTGGTTCATTATGTCCAAATTCAACCAAACTATTCAAAATTTTGTTTTCTTTGGCATAAAAATAATGCAGCAGTGTTTTAAAATCTGAGATTTTGCAAATTACCATTCATATGGAGGAAGTAAGAAAATGGAACTGGCGAGGGCTCTGAAAGACTAATTGACAAGGTTTGGCCATTAAAAGAAAATTAAACGATCTCGAAATCAATATTGTGTGAATCTGAAACTTACACTGCTTTAGGTATTTTTCACAAAATGTTATCTTAACAATAACGGAACAATAGGATAACTAAAAATGGGATCTTAAAACATAGTATTTGTATCACAGTACAGGGGAACAGGACAACCGCATTGTACCACTCCAGAGGGCATTCATTATTTCTATGGTATCTTAGGTAATGGTAACCAGTGCAGCTCAGAGAACCTCTCGCCTAACTGGTTAAAATAATAAAGATAATGCTAAAGGAGTTTAACAACTGTTGTGATTACCAGAAATTGGGATCTATTTGATAGGAGTCGAGTACAACTCAATATTTGTTGAGATTCTGCCCTGAGAAAAGTACTAAAAATACCTCAGTTTTTTTAATCTGGTGAATTTCCTTCATTTATCAGATAGAAGAACAGGGTTTTAAAAAATGTTATCCAAATATAATAAAATCAACTCACAGCAGCGGCACCCTCTGCCTCCTCAACCCTTTTTAATCCCTTCCTTCCAACAGCAGCCTGTGGTGGCTCTGTTGTTTTGCTTCAGCTCTCACAAGCCATCACTCTTGCTTCTTTTCCTAACTTTATGAGCTCTCCTTTCCTTCATTTGCATATATATACATATATATATGATCAACTTAAGATTTACTGTTTCTTTCCTCTACCTATTTCCCTGATCAGCACAAATAAAGCCAGAAACCAAGTGATACAAACATAGGCTGCTCTTTAGAAGAGGGTCCTCTGCGCACACCTTTGCAACACATCATAAAACAAAACAGCTATGGCCAAAGCATCAAGTATTCCTTTTCTGCTAGGAATTCTAAAATTTGTTACTGGTATAATGTACTCTTGTAACCAGATTTAAACAACTTTAATGTTGATGAGGATAAAATCACTTAGTCCAAGCCGTATGTGTCAATTTGACATAATTTTTAAAATATATTTAACATTGGAATATACTGTTAGATTTAAAAACTTTCATTTTATTGTATGATAATGTGTAACTTAAATACCCATAATGATTTAAAATCAAAAATTGTCTAAAACCAAAATTATAAATAAATGATTTTAAGTAACACTTTCCCTTTTTCATTAGCTAAGAAATCTTCAAAACAAACTTTTCATAAAAGAAACTTCAGTGCAAGAAATGAAGACTGAACTAGAAAGTTACAAAGAAAAGAATGTGAAACAGTCATTCCAGATAATGTCCCTGAAAAATGATATCAAGGACCTGGAGGAACTTATTGCTTCTCTAACCAGAATTAAGTCTTTGAAAAGCATCAATGTTCAGAGTCTTGAAAGAGTCAACTGGGATCTAAATGAAAGAATTATAGAACTAGAAAACCGTCTAAGGTAGGGAATTACCTTTCTTTCCCCTACATTACTTTGTTTTTAATCATTTGCAATGTTAGTCATATGTTGAACATATTTTTAAAGACATAAAATAATTTTTAAGTACAACCACAACTGTAAAGTAGAGGAACTTAAGAAGACAAAGATCAGATCTGCTTTATAACACAACATTACTCTTTTCAAACAAGTTTACTAAGAAAGAGTTCCCATGTTTAATGTTCAAAATAAAACAATCTTCTCATTGAGAAAAATTGAGCCATCATTTGATTAATAAAAACTATTCTTCCCCCAAGTTTACACTGGCTTATCTTTATTTAGAAATTGTAAATTCATGAGAAAAGAACAAATTTTGTTGTGGACAAAAAAAATCTTAGGAACAACAAATTACAAAAATTCAGTTTTTTAATAAATAAAAGTATTTTCCTTCCCAAAATGTAAATGTCCAGTGAATAAAACACACACAATATTCCAGGTATTGGAACAGTAGTAATTCACTTACAAAGGAGGTGCATTTTGGTATATTTGGTGATAAGATTATTGTTTCTCTTAAGTATAAAGCACTTCAAACAAACCAGGCCATTATTATTTAAAAGTCTACTCCTTCGCCCAGTTTCCTTATTTGAGTAAAAACTCATCAATTTCTGTAGAATTTTGGATATAGGACCAGGCCACAGGAAAGGTCTAAAATATCTAAAAGTTATTTGGTTAGAGAAAAATACTTTCTTGAGATTGGGCAGCAGTCATTTATCACTTTGTGCCTGAAGGCGGTCCTCAGCAAACCTCTTTGCTACCATCTTCAGAGGAAAGCACAGGGTCTGGGTTCCCATAAGCTCTGGCTGGGCCACGGGCCAGCAGGACATCCTTGCCGGCTCTCTGCATGCAGTGCTGTCTCCACGTCGGCATGCAGCCTGAGTCATGAAAGGGAAGCCGCGAGGCAGCACTGGGCTCTGACGGCCAGGAATTTTCTAGTTTGTTTTCAAACATTGTTTGTCTTAACTTACAAGTAGTATACGATGTGCATATTCCTGATTGATCACAGAATTTAAATATAGAAGAATTTCACATAATACCTGACTCAAAATTATTTTTAAAAACATTGAGACATTTACATACCATTAAAACTCACCCCTTTAAAATATAAAATTCAGTAGTTTTTAGTATATTCACAAGTATATTCAGTATATTTAGTATACTTAGATTGTGCAATCATCACCACTATCTGATTCCTGAACACTTTTATTACACCCTTAATAAACCCTATGCCTATTCCAGCTACTCCCTTTTCCACCCTCTCCAGTCTCTGACAACCACCAATCTACTTTTTTTCTCTATGGACTTGCCTTTTCTGAACACCTCATATGAATTTAATTATCCAATATATGGCCTCTGTGTTTAACTTCTTTCACTTAGCACAATGTTCTCAAGGTTCATTCATGTTGCAACATAAATTGGTACTTCTTTTCATTGTTGAATAATATTCCATTATACAGATATACCACATTTTGTTTATCCGTTAGTCAGCTGATGGACATTGGGTTGTTTCCTTTTGAGGGGGGTGCTTTATGAATAATGCTGCTATTAACATTTTTTTGTATGAGTTTTCATATGACTGTATGTTTCATTTCTCTTAGGTATATGCCTTAAGAATAGAGTTGCTGAATCATAAAGTAACTCTACACTTAACTTTTTGAAGTTACTTCCAGGCTGTTTAACAGGGCAGCTGCACCATTTTAAATTACTTCCAGCAATGTATGAAGATTTCATTTTCTACATATCCTCACCATTACATCTTATTGTTCATCTTTTTATTATATGCATTCTAGTGAATATGAAGTTATATATCATTGTGATTTTAATTTGCATGTATATAATGACTAAAGATGTTGAACATCTTTTCATGTGCTATTGGCCATTTGTATATCTTCTTTGTAGAAGTATCTGTTCAATCCTTTGCCCATTTTTAAGTTGTTTTTTTTTTTTGTCTTTTTATCACTGAATTGTAAGTGTTCTTTGTAAGTTTTGAATACCAGAACGTTATCAGATACATGATTTGCCATATTTTTGTCCCATCTGTGAGTTGTCTTTTAATTTTCTTAATGGTGTTCCTTTGAAGCACAAAATTTTAAAACTTTGGTAATATTTATCTTCTTTCTGTCACTTGTGTCTTTGATGTCATACTAAGAAACAACTGCCTAATCTAGGGTTGTGAATATTTACATGTGTTTTCTTTTCAAAGTTGTAGTTTCAGCATGTAAATTTATGTCTTTGGTCCATCTGAACTAATTTAGCTCTCTCGGTACCACTTGCTGAAAGACTATTCTTTCTTCCATTGAGTTGTCTTGACAATCTTGCAAAAGAACTCAATTGGCCATACATATGTGGGTTTAATTCTAGATTGTCAGTTCTATTCCATTGGCCAATATGTCTATCCTATGCCAGTACCACACTATCTTGATTACTGTAGCTTTATAGTAAGTTTTGAAGTGTGAGTCCTCCAACTTCTTCTTTTTCAAGGTTGTTTCAGCTATGCTGGGTTCCCTGCTTTTCCATGTGAATTTTAAAATTGTCAATTTCTGCAAAAATAGTCAACTGGGATTTTGGTAGGAATTTGTTGAACTTTTAGATCAATTTGGGGAGCATTGCCATTTTAATATTAAGTCTTCCAGTGCATGAACATGGGGAATCTTTCTATTATTTAGGTTCTCTTTAATTTCAACAATATTTTATAGTTTTCAGTGTATGTATCTTACCTTTCTTTTATTAAATTTATTTATAAGTATGTTATTCTTTCTTATGCATTGGAAATGGAACTGCTTCCTTAATTTTATTTCAAATTATTCATTTTTGGGAATTCAAATATAATTGATTTTTGTATATTGACCTCGTGTCCTGCAACCTTGCTGTATTTGATAGCTCTAATCATTGTGTGTGTGTGTTTCTATGTGTATTCCTTAGGAATTTCTTTATACAAGATCATCTCATTTCCACAGAGATTTACTTCCTCCTTTCTCATCTTGATGCTTTAGTTTATTTTTCTTGACTAATTGCCTTAGCTCAAATCTCCAGTACCATATTGTATGGAAGTGGTGAGAAGCAGACATCATTCTTTTGTTCTTGATCTTAGGGGGAAAACGTTCAGTCTTTCCCCATTAAGTGCAATATGATGGTAGCTTTGAATCTTTTGTAGATATCTTTTATCAGGTTGAGGAAATTCCCTCCTATTTCTAGTTTGTTGAGTGTTTTTATCATGAAGGTGTGTTGGATTTTGTAAAATGAATTTTTTGCATCTATTGGGATGATTGTGTGGTTGTGTCCTTTATACAATTTATTATCCTTAGGCATGTGGTTATTTAGTTGGTATACAGAGAGAGGAGATATTTGATCGTGAGCCCTTGGTTGATAAGAGGAGAAATGAAGTCATTAATTTTCTCTCTTATACTACTACTAATAATTAAGAAACCCATACAATATGAAAATCACTTGAATTCAAATAAGTAGGAATACTGGTATAGACTGTTTCTATTCTATATTGGTTGGTATACATATTGACAGGTTGAAGTTTCTTTTGCATTTCCCAGGTCACTTTAAGAAAGAAAATATACAGGAGCTTGAAACTAAGGAGATAAATCTCTGCTCAGACTGAGAAATTAGACCAGCAAGGAGAAAGAGATTTCTTTTGCTCCCCAACCCCCAGTTGTACAGTGCCTGAAAAAAGAAGGCTGACAAGTGAAGAACTGATTAAAAGCAACTTATCATCCAAGTAAATATCTTGTCAGTGATAAGTTGCCAACTGAAGTTGGTCTATAGTTTTACTCCCAAACAGCTGATGGAGCACTGCAAACTCTTTCAATACAATCTTGAGCATAGCTACAGAGTGAGTCACCCTGGACTTTCTGCTTTAGTTTTGTCCTTGGTGCCAACAAGTATGGTAGCTGTATCCCACTCACACCCTCCCCTTAAGGGTGTTAATGTTGAAGGGGAAGGAAGAACTGGAAGCAGCTCCTATGGAGCAAACTCTGGAGGAGACTCTGGACGAAGGATTGTTCTTAGGCCACATCTGTTCCCAGCCCCTTCATCTGTTTTCTCTTTGCGGTTGGTGCTGTTATGATTGAATTTTCAGGCCCAGCACTTTTTGCTTTTGTTATATTGGTTACTCAGAGAAGTATGCTTAATTATTATTACTTAAAATAGCCAGTTATATTTTATTATATTCACTATATTAATCAGTTATGATTGCAGGTTCATCTCTCACTTTTAATTCTGTCAACTTTTAAAAAATATATTTTGAAACTATTTGCATTCTAATTTAGGAGTTTTATATCTTTCTATTGAATTTTCCTTGTTATTATGAAATGTCTATCTTTTATGTACTTCTTACAGCCTACTTTGGTATTAATTTAGCTATACCATTATACTGTTATCATGGTAAATCTTTTTCCATTTTTTAATTTGCATGTTTCTGTGTCCTTATATTTAAAGTATATATCTTGCAAAATGTTTAGCATTAGTTGTTTTATTTTTAATCCTATCTAATTCTCTTGTATTAATTGTTGGATTTCAGTTTACCATATTGTTGTGAGAGGAAGAGAGAGAGGAAGGGAAAGAGACAGAGAGAAACATCGATTTGTTCTTCCATGTAGTTATGCATCCATTGGTCGATTCTTTATGTGCTCTGACCAGGGATTGAACTGGCAATCTTGGAGTATTTGGGATGACACTCTAACCAACTGAGCTACCTGCCTAGGGCACCATATTTTTATTTATTATTTGTTTTCCCCATGTGTTCTCTGTTCCTTTATTATTCCTACACTATTTTCTTTGGATTAATCAGTTTTTTATTATTTCATTTTTTTGGGGTATAATCTTTTAAATTATCATGTAGTTTTTACCCTAGATCTTGTGATTTCAAAATGCATATTTATTACATTTTACTTTAGGTTGTTCTTTTATGATATTCCAAAAATAAAAAAAAAAAAACAGTTTAACTCCATTTAGCTATCCCATGATCTTGTACTATTATTATATTTTAACTCTTCATATTGATGAATCCCATAAGATATTGTTATTGTTTTTATTAACTGTCAGTATAAATTTCTAGTTTCCCTTTCTGGTGCATTGTATTTCCTTCCTAAAATCCTGTGCGGTCACCAGGGATAATTTTTGTTCATCCTGAGAAATTGCCTGTAGTGTTTCTTATAATGCAGTTCTTCGGACAATTTTTCTATTTTTTTCCCCCGTCTGAAACCATGTTTATTTCATCTTCATTGTTTCAAAGGGTATTTTTTATTGTGTATAGAATTCCGGGGTGTCAAGATTTTTACTTTCAGCCCTCCAAGATGTCATTCAGTTATTTTCTGACTTCTGTAGCTTCTGTTGAAAACTCAGTCATCAGTCTTATTTTTGCACTTCTGAAGGTAATGTGTGCTTTTTTTCCTTCTGCTTTTAATTGGTAACAATTTGACTATGATGTGTCTTGGTGTGGTTTTCTTTGATTCTATCCTGTTTTGGATTTGAAGAACTTATTAAATCTATCAATTGATGTCTTTCATCAGTTTGAAAAATTCTTGGAAATTATTTTTTTCATATATTGTTTCTGTTCCATTCTGTCTCTACTCTCAATCTAGGCATAAAATTACAGGTATGTTAGACCTGTTGAGTGTGTCCTACATGTCTCTAATATAAATTATTGAATTAAAAATTGTCTTTATATAATTCAGATAACTTCTTTTGACCTAACTCAAATTCATTAATTCTGTAGGATGTAATTCTTAGACAGAAAAGGACATAAAAATTATGGAAGATGGGCTAAAACTTTAACCTAGCTACAGGTATAAAATATTACCAATATCTAGCAATTGATGATAAAACAAGAACCAAATAATTTGCTGTTTGTATATTTGATAATAAATAAATTTTCCACATATGCTGTTCTTCATTACTGTATCATTATTTCTAGTTCCTTTCCCTCATCAAATCCCAGTCGAAGAGCCTATTAAGGTGTTATTAAAATAGGGGTACTTGTGGAACCTCCTTCCTGATCATCACACTATTACCAATAGTGGTAGTCAAATATTCACACTCGAATTTCCCCTTGAAAAGGATGGTTTCAAAATTGACCTCCCCCAGGGTAACTACTACCGGACTTAATACTGGATGGTTATTCTCTCCATTTCTCTGCCCTTTCTAGTCTCCCCTTAGAAACAGTTAAATTTTTACTTGATGCACATACTTAATATTGGGTTGGCCAAAAAGTCAGTTTAGTTTTTTCCATAGAATAAAAGGACACATTTTTCATTTTCAACAATAGCTTTATTATTTGGATATTTTTTAGTATGTTGGCTATCTCCTGTGTGGTATAACATTGATTGTTCTCAATTAATGTCTCGATTTGATCACTATCAACTCCAACCGGTATACCCAACTGTGGAGAATCATCCAGTGAGAAATCTCCAGCAAGAAACTTTGCAAACCACTTTTGAAACATTCGATCAGTCACAGCACCTTCTCCATACACTGCACAAATCTTTTTTGCATTTCAGTTGTGTTTTTACCTTCCTTGAAATAATAAAACATAATATGCCAAAAATGTTGCATATTTTCTTCCATCTTCAGTATTGACTACACAAAAATTCACCAGTTTTGATTTTTTTTAATACATGCTGATGTGAAAGCTGTCACAATACAATCTAACAAAATTGTTTCAAATGAAGTTCAAGACAACTCAGTGCTACTAAAACCATCTTATGGAAAAAAGACAAACTTTTTGGCCAACCCAATATATTTTAAATGGGGAATATTTATTTTCATTATTTTTAATTGAAGTTTGAATATTGAGTTGGTTTCATGATATTGTTACCTACTGCTATCTTACACAGAGTACATCTGGTGGAAAAAGAAAAGGCAGAGCAAAAAACAGAACTTTTGGAGAAAAAGTTAGCAGGTGCTAATGGACTCATCCCTAATGTGAATATGAAAGGACAAGAAGATACCTGCGGTAGTTTCATAATAAAGGTGAGAATAAATTCAGATTAATTTGTGAAGAAACAGGGTTTTTATTACTTTGTGTTACTCCAGGAGATAATTGGCAATGTCGAGCGCTTTGTTGGCCTCCTCTTGAGGAGGATACAGGAAGCAGTACAGCATGGTTGACTGGAAGACCTTCTGAGGGAGGTAAGGAGAGAAAGTGCGAGGAGGACCTGAAGGTCTCTGGGATTCTGAAGGAAAGGTTAGAGGAACAGAGCTGTGAAGAGCTGGGAGATAAAGTGGCTGTTGGAGAGTAAAGTACTGAAGTATTAAATTTCTGGTGTGGGTTACTTCCTGCAGCTGACAAAATCTGGGTTCTTGGCTCTGGGTGTAAAGGTTCAAGAGGAGTATAGGTGAAAGTTATTGAAGTAGAGGCAAGGAATTTTAAAGCTAAATTGGTTGGATCACCTGCATTGGACATTGAAGTAGAGAATTATGGCATGAGCTGGGTTTAGAAGGAAGAGATGAACCTGGTCACTTGTAGACAGCCATTCACAGAATTAGTAGAATATTTTATAGAAGAATGTTGGAGGATGATGGGAGACTGACACTTGGCAAAGGACTGGTGAAAGTTTATTTTGAAGTTCTTAGATTAACTGTTTGTTATAAAATCTGAAGGTAAAGCAAAGCCTATTTTTATCCGATTAATGTGAGGGGTTCCATTAAAAAAAATCAGAACTGCTTTCAAAGTATTTTAAAATAATTTCAACTTTTAATTGCCTCCCTCAGTAACTTACAGTAACACTTTCCATTTTCTTTCACTTCTCTCACTGATCTGCCACATCTCTGAAGACTCCCAAACCAGACTCTCTGCAGCTCTGACCTTTTCTTCCACTGCTCTTTTATTTTGCCTCTTTTCTCTAGGCTTTTTGTGAGGCAAACTCATCATTACTTCATCAGTTCTAGCTCTCCTTCTATTTCCCAATTTCACATGACAAAAAGCCCAGAAACTAGTTTACTCAGCTTCCAGAGTTGATGGTGGCAAGAAGGCTAGAACTTACGAAGGGAGAATCTTCCTGCAGGAGGTGGGCTGTGGAGGCAGGGAGGACAGCACTACCTTTATTTTTTTCCTGACTATTTACAATGGAAGTAGGATGATTACAGGAGCACAAGGGAAAGGTTGGGGGTATGACTTTCTTCATTCATACTTTTACATTATCGAAGTTATTATTTAGTGATGTTCTATAACCATAATTAAGTTTTGGTGAAAATATTCATTTTCCTGACAACTTTTCACTAGATCCCTGCTTGGATCAGTTATTTTATTAAGAGATGCAAAATGATGATTTTTAAATTTCTATCATTCCTTCTACACTGATTAGCTCAAAAATTTTTTGTAAAGAGTTTATCTTCATAAAGTGGGGCTGTTTGGTTAGCTGTTCCTCTAAGCTAAATTTCCTATATCCTTTAAACAATTTCTCCATGTCATCGTTTTAATACCTCTTGTTCTAGTTTGCTCTTTTGAGTATGACCTTGTCTCTCTGATGACTCTATAACTCTTGCTTTCTCTTGAGAGCCTTTTCCTGAAGTTTTATGTTATGGCTATTTCTATATTTCAAAAGAAAGGAAATATATATTTCTATTTTAAATCCCAAATGGGAAGTTTAACACGTGTGTTGGCTTATTTAGGATAAAGGTAAAGCTACCCTGGCCAAGAACTTTGAGAGGGAGAACATTTTTCACTCTGAGGGACGAAAAGATGGGCAGAAAATTTGGGATAAATGTCAAGATTTGATCCACATGGAGAAACAAAAATATAAATTAGACAGACCTCCAAATTCATCCAGCTGGGAAGCTAAAACTGCACAATCCCACTATCAGCAATTCCTTGGTCAGTTGGCTACTCTTCTGAGCAACAGTGTTGTCCCCATCCCAGCCACCGAGGAAGCGGTGAAAGAGAGGATTCAGGAAATTGGTGCAAATGAGCAGTATTGGAAGTCTGTAAGTGTATTGACAGACAAGTTTCTCTTTTAAATTTGTTTCTTTTAATATGTGGAATGTGATATTCGCCAATTAAGTAAACTCTGTGGCTCTAAATTTTAATATTGATTTTATTACTGCAGTAGTAAAAGAGAAGGAGATGTCCATTACTACAGCAGAGGTAGTATAGAGTGTGTATCAGGAGCACTGAGCTCCTGTGTGAATCCCAGTGCTGCCATTGCCCAGTTGTGTGCTACTGGGCGGGTTACTTATCCACTTTCTGCCTCAGTTTCATTTGTAAAATTTGGCAGGAGTGGGGAGGAGGTAAGAGAGGGTTTGGGGAGCATAGTTTCCATCTCAGAGTGGTTGTTAAGAATTAAGTGGGTTACTACATGATAAATGCTTAGCACAGCTATGTGTAAGCTCAATTAATGCTAGCTTAAAAATAGTGGCAGGGGGAAGATAACGTTTTCCTCATGAGCAAACAGTTCAGTCAGTGCAGAAAATAAATTATCAAATCGGTTATTTATTTGAATTTACTGGTCAAGTCTATCAAAAGATTGAACAAGCAGGTTTAAGCAATTATATCTCTCTGCTGTGTTCAAGTCACTTTAGTAAAATTTCATGACTCTTCACCCTACAGTTCAAAGGAAGATAGTTATTGGTTAAATTCCAATGTGTTAGTAAAACCTGCTGCACGGTAGTCTGTTTATTTTAGAGTTCTAAACTTTTTACACTCTGTTTTCTTAAATCCATTATACAATTTATTACTCAGTACTAACTAAAATGTTTTATATTTATATATCAAACTTATTTTTTGGAACCAGTATTTAGTAATTTAATGTTGCTACAGTGCCAGTATAGTAGAACTTACACAGTATTGATATAAAATAGAAATCATGGACCATCAGGGAGTTTCATCTACTTTTTTTCTTTATAGAGAACTGAAGGCCTTCAGCAGGAAATTCAGATGCTCACTAAGCAACTGGAGCAGCTGCATCATCACGACGAAGAATCATCCCAAACTGAAGAAAAGTGTAGGGAACAAAAAAGACCCTTGAAACGTCTGGAAAGAAAAACTGCTATTAATGACTTTTTTCAAGGGACATTAGACTTGGGCAAGAGTAAAGTAAGAATTTTGTGAAGTATAAGGCATTTCTTTGACAATGAAAATGATCATATTTTATTATATTTAATGTTTAAAGCTGTTAATGTTTAAAGCTTTTAGTATTGGGAAAGGGAGGAAAATTTGCTAAAAATGCTTCTGATTTTATAAAAAATCCTATCCTCACTTTATAGCTTCCATTTCTCATTTTATACATATTCAGTGGTTATGGTGATGACATTTATTAATATATTCATTAATGTACTTTTAAAAGGTGGGTTAGAGGAAAAGGAGCTCATAGGAATGACTCTCTGAAGGTGGAATTTCAGGCACTGTGTCAGCTAGATATGATGGGTATTAGAAGGAGCCATTGATGATAGTCCTCAATAATTATATAGACCCATTACCACCTGCTTCTCTAAACCTATAAGAAAGAAATAAATCTAAAAGTTGCACAAAAATACGTAGGATGCAATATAATTTATTTTCAGGAGTTTTTATTCTATTTCACTACCTCTCCTCAGAATTGTTTGTCATACTCATACCTATGTTATATTATTTCCATAATTGCTATGGCTAAAATGGAATCTCATTCACTCACTCACTACTTACTCATTTAGCCTCTCATTTCATTCATTCATTCATTCATTCATTCATTCATTCATTCATCCAGTATGTATTGAATGCTCAGGTTAAAAAACTTCCAGCACTTAATGAAGCAGTATCAACAATGTCCTCCACAGAGTCCAAAGATGAATCCATCTTCTACTGCTAGTTCCTTTCCCATGCCCTCCCCAAAGAAAATCAGTCTAATTTATTTAGTGTGTATGTTTGTTTATAGATGTTCTTCTAAATGTAATTTCTGTGCACATATTTTAAATTTGTGTAAATGGTATTGTGTTAAAAATCTTATTCTACTCATATTATGTATATATGAAATATATATTCACACTAAATTTATTGGGGTGACATTGGTTCGTTAATAACATTATATAATTTTCAGGTGTACAACATTATAATTCACCATCTGCATACTTTTGTATCTGTTACCTATGTGCATGTAAAAAATGTGTGCTCTATTTATTGGGTATAAATTTCCATAATTAGGTAATGCTCAAGCATATTATTCATATGGTTTAGATAGTCAGTATCTCTGATAATTTTTGTTTCTTGATTCTGGAAAAGGTATGCTTAATTCTCCAAGCATAATTTTTCGTTCATCTGTTTGTCCCTATAGTTCTGTCAATTTTTGCTTTATAGCCTCCTGGAGCATATGCACTTATGATGATCTTTGCTGTCTTGTTTTTTAAAGCACTATAAAATGTTTTTTTGTCCTCCATAAAATATTGCTTTAAGTTCTCCATTTTCAGAAATTGTGGTTACTAATGCAATTTTATTTTGATTTATGTTTGCTCAAATGTGATATATCTTTTTACCTTTATATTTTTCTGTCTTTCTCTGTGATAAAAGACAGTGTATGGTTGTATTTTTTTTTTAACAAATCCAGTTGGAGGGCTTCCAGATGTTGAATTTAATGCATTTACATTTATTATAATTATTATATTAGGACATATTTTTGTGAACTTATTTAATAATTTCCATATATTTTACTTTCCTATTTTTTGAGGGGCTCTATTTTCCAGGTTTCTTTTATACAGATCATTTTTTTCTGCTGGTTTTAAAGTTATATAATCTATTTTTATTTTGATGCTAGTTTTCTTTTTTTTTAGTATATGTGCTGCCAATGCTAGAAAAATGATGCTGGTGTTCTCTAATTAAGAAAAATACTCTTATTTACCTAATATTTACGAGAATGTCATTCCTGTTTGGTCCCTGATCTCAGACCCCAATTAGGTTGTTATTCTCTAAATTTTTAATTTCTAGGTTGTTTGAATATACTTCTTTGTTTTCTTTTACTTGATCCTAATTATTTTTAGATAACCACTAAACTCAAACAAGGTGTTTAATCACCTTCAGTTGCATATCTTTTGAAGCATCCTCCTGGATATTTCTCCTTATTTGAGCATTTCTGCAAGAGTTTTTAACAATTGGGTCTTTGTCAGACACCATATGTGCCTGATAACATTTTTATTATACCCCCATATTTTAACGACAGTGTGGCTGGACATAAATAGTCTTCTAGGTTCAAAGTTCCTTCATTAAATTATTTAAAACTATCTCCTTGGATCTTCTGTTATTGTTGTGATGCCTGATACCAATGTGATTCTTATTCCTTTGTAGATGATCTGCTCTTTCTCTCAGGAAGTTTTTATGTATTTCTGTATTTATTTATTTATTTACTCACAAAGAGGGTCTTTCAGGACGCTATTAGTTTACTCATTTGCTTTGATGTTCTTAAATTTTGTTCTAATGTTCTTAGATGTATGTTTTTTTCTTACCTCTATTGTTTGACTCTTAATGAACTTTTTAATCTAAGTCTTTCATCTATCAGTTTCATAATTTATGTCAGTGTTTTTCCCTATCAAATTTATTTCCTTTTGATTTCTATTTTTCCCTCTCTTCTTTTCTACACTTTGTCCTTCTATGACTAATTTCTGGAGGTTGGATTCTAATTCTATCCTTTATTTCTTTGTGTAATGGTTAATTTTATGTGTCAACTTGTCTAGGCTTGGTGCCCAGACGTTTGTTCAAACACTAGTCTAGATGTTTCATTTTAGATCTGATTAACATTTAAATCAGAGGACTTTGAGTAAAGCATATACTTTCCATAATGTGGGTGGGCCTCATCCTATCAGTTGAAGGCTTTAAAAAGACTGAGGCCCCCTGAGGAAGAGAGAGATTCTACCTACAAACTACCTTTGGATTTGAGACACAATATCAACTCTTCTCTGGGCCCACCCTGCAGATTTTGGACTTGCCAGACCTCACAATTGTTAGCCAAATCTTTCTCACGCACGCACAGACACACGCATGCACACTACCCTATTGGTATTGCCTCTGTGGAGAACCCTCATAAACTTTGCTTAAAAAAAAAAAAGTTTGTATATCTTTATCCCTTCCTGCTGTTTTCTATGAGGGTTTCTTTGCCTGTTCTCCAACTCAATTTGTTTTCTTAGCTTTATCCATTGTATTTATCTCATCTGTGTTGTTTATTTCAATTATTATTTTTGTCATATCCAATATTTCTACTTGGATGTTTTTATAATTTCTTAATCTGTTAATATCATTCCTTATCTCCTGAGTAGCTATAATTTTGAATAAAAGTAAAATTATAATTTTTACATTAAACTAAAAATGATCAGGAAAAACATGGCCTTGCCCTAAATTTCATTTAGGAGCAAATGAAGAATTAGTCCCACAGAAAACACTTAAAGGAACAATAGAGGACAAAAATAAAATTAATAATTACACTGTATGTGTTGAACTATTCAATGTAAATTTTATACATGTCAAAGTGACAATTTGTAAGTACTATTTACATTTTACTCAGCTTTGTAATGATATGATTTTGGACAAATTAAAAATACATTTTTGATTCTCTGTTTCAGAATGTCTACTTAAATTGAGTTTATTAATATACATATATACCACTTTTTCAGATATCCATAATTTAAATATTTGTCACTTTACTCTGGTTTTTTTTATAATTTGGTACATGACCTATTATTTTATGTCCTCCAGTAGGATTTTGTATGTTCTTCATAAGTCCTATAAGTCCCTCATTTCTTTCTTGTAAAATTTGTTCCTAGTTCTTTTATAGATTTTCTGCTGATTGTGAACAACATATTTTCCCATTTCTATTTGAAGTAGTTATTACTGACATAGTAAAAACCTTTGATATGTTTGTATTTTTATTAAATATTTACTACCTTACTGAATTCACTTAAGTCTAACAGTTTACTAGAGTTCGTGAGTTTTCTGGACATGATTGTATATTCTTATATTGTTTCTTAGGAAAAATATATTTCTTTTAGATTCTCAACTTACTGTCACTAAGTTAAAAATATTCTTTTAGAATTATTTTTTATATTTTTCTATGTCTATGCATTCTGTATGTTTTTCCTTCCTAATATCGTGTTTTCACTTTCTTTCCTCTTTAATGAGGCTTGCCTGGGGCATCTATTTTATCTTTCCAAAAGAACAGTGGTTTTATTTTTTTTCAATATACATTTTACTAGATTTTTATTTATATATAATGAAAATATATGGTATCTTTTTTAAATCCACACCCCTTCTTTTTCTATTTTTTTTCTGGTCGTAACTTTATTAATTACAGAAAGGTAGAAAGAATAAAATTTAAATTACCAGTAATTCTATCATTTTGAGATTGCTAGTATTAGCATATAGGTATATTTCCTTCTGATTATTTTCCATATATATTTTGATATAATTGTGATAGGCACAGTTTTTTTTCATCTTTCTTCTTTCATTTAACTATATCATTAATATTTTCTCTTAGTAGAAATTTTTGAAAACTTGATTTCTAGGGAATCTATCATCAATCATGTCATTTATTTAATTATCCTTTCTTGATGTTTGCATTGTTTTTATTTTTTCATGTTATGAATAATGTAAATATCTTGATGCATGAATCTTTATCTAAATATTGGATTATTTCTTTATAATACATTCCTAGAAAAGTTAAGTTAATTTATGCTACCACCTGGTATTAATTAATTTGTCTACTTAACTGTACCCTTGTTAGCATTGAGCCATCACTTTTATCATCATATTTTATTTTCCAGATAATTTTAATAGTGCATATTTATGTTGAAAAAATATTTTACCTATGTAATCATTGTTAAGTCTGCAATTTATCAGACTAGAATAGATCTGGTAGGCTAATGTAGAATACCATCATAAAACACAACTACTTTATTTCAATACTGTTGATTTCTTCAAAGGAAAACTCTAGACCTAGGAATTCCATGATAGACGAGAACAGCAAGATGTTTAAACAGCTAGAGAAAGACAACAAGCAACAAACATTATTGAATATTAAGCAGAATTTGCAGATTGCAACAACTGAAAGATTAGAGGGAGAAATTCAGGAACTTCAGAAACAGCTCAGTGATTTGAAATTGTCTAATAAGAATATGAAAACCCAGCTAACAAGAGTAAATATCCTTAAAGTAAGTAAAGGAAGTTAGGCTTTCAAATATTTATTTAAGCTTTGGTTTTTTTACTGTTTTTGTTCCATATTTCTCATTGAACTTTAAAAAATTAACATTAAAATTATTTTACATCCATACAAAAGAATATATATATAAAATAAGGCATATGTAATAATAAAATTTGATGCCTGCAAATCTACCATTAATCTTAAAAAACAGTCTATTATCAATCCCATGGATGCCCCCCTGTATTCCCCTTGCCAGTCCTCAAAGATGACTTCTAGATCCCTTGCTTTTTGTTGTATTCTTTTTTTTTTTTCTTATTGGGGTAAGACTTAAATGTTTTAGTGGGACTCCTCTTTGACCTTCTCTTATTTCAAGCTTCAGTTGTAGTATTTCAAACATACATTTTTTTTGTTTTGTTTTAAACCACAGGTGCATTAAATACTTATTGATCAACTTTTTTATCAGCAATATTTCTCTTGCTGCAGAGCCACTTATTTTCTCTATTTTTGTATTTAATTAGCACAGATTGTAAGACTTGAGGACATGGAACACTTGTTAAACCTCTTTAAACCCCAAGTGCCTTAGTTTATAAAAGTGTTCGATTGTTGATGAGTATGATGGCGGAGAAATGTCCTCTTAATTCATAAATTGTGGAATTTTCTTCCTTTTCCATGTATCTACCTCTTTAAAAAAAATAGAAGCGTGAGTTATCATTCATCATGCCTGCCTGTTATTTAAGATATCTAATCAGCCATCTTTCTTTCTCCCAACCTTAACCTTATACCCTCATAGGACAAAACAATTCAGAAGCTCAAGCAATCTTTAATAAAAGTTGAAGTAATGAAAGGGAAGGCAGTTATGAAAACAGATAACTTGAAAACTACACTAGACTCAGCCAAGCAAGATGCAAGTTGGGACAAAGACAGGGCCCATCAGAGGGTCGATGCTGTCACTCCTGAGCGCTGCACAGCAAAGAGCCCACTTGAAGAAGTATCAGGACGACCACAGGAGGTTTTAAAAAAATTATTATTTTATCATTATTAGTACTATATTAAGATTTTTTAAGTTGCAGTGATAAATACCTCAACTTAGGCAAAAGGGAATTTATTGGCTGTGGAATCAAAGGGAGTTAAACAACCTAAATTCTGGGAGGGCAGAGATGCACCTGGGAACTTACAAGGCCTTTCTCACCATCTCTTCTTGGCATCTCCCGTGTGACAGCTTCTCTCTCTGACTGAAACCACAGTGTTTTATAGGTAGAGTTTCTGAGACGAGAGAAAACCCCAAGAAAGGGTCTTTATAAGCTCAGCTTAGATCAAATGCCTATCCTTGGTCCACAGTGGTGAGGGATGGGATATATGATTATGTTAACTCAGGTTTGTCAACACATCCTCTTACTAACCAAAGACAGGGAAGGCAGGGATTTGAGAGAATGGAAGTTCAGGGGAAACCGTGTGTATGGGGCTGGATCACTTTCTAGGACAAGAGTCTAGTGCTTCTAAGCTGGCTTAGATTTTCACTATATTCATAAAGCAGGTATTTTAAGAGAATTCTTAAAGGCCTGATAATTTTGGGCTACTGTGGGATTATGTGTCATACCTCCACACATTAATTGCTTAAGAAATATGTAACATTTTTAAAAAATATTTATTTTTAGAGAGAGGGGAAGGAAGGGAGAGAGAGAGGGAGAGATACATCAATGTGTGGTTGCCTCTTGTGCACTCCCTGCTGGGGACCTGGCCCTCAACCCAGGAATGTGCCCTGACTAGGAATCGAACCAGTGACCTTTTGGTTTGCAGACCGGCACTCAATCCACTGAGCCACACCAATCAGGGAGAAATATGTAACTTTAACCAATTATCTTGAGTCTTAAAAAGTCAAGTCATGATAATCATTTTTTCTCTTTTTTAACTTCTGCGTATTCACATTCTTGATTGTTTTTATTCTTTTCAGTGTCCCTTACTATATTTTTAGTTAGATCTTTTCTCCTTTGGGTACTCTGTAGTATACTATTCATTTTTGAGAAGATTTTGTCTTACTCTTTCCTGAGTTTAATAATTACATCTTCTTTATCCATGAGGCATCTTAGATATTTTTTTGTCCATTTCTATTCTGAAATATTACATTTAGAAAGGCGTTTTTTACTGCGTGTCTGCAAATCCTTGTCTAATTGATATTTAATTCATATCAGGAGCAGTGTCAAACGTTCCCCCTGCTTCATGGCTGTGTTTTGGGGAGAGTGTTTTCATCACCTGAACAGTGATAACTGCCTTTCTATTTTCTTCTAGGCCCCTTTCTTTTCCTTCCCACTTGCCAGTGTTCTGATCCACCAGGTCTCAGACTTGTTCTTAACACTGTATTTCCCCATTCATGCGTTGTCCCATTTCTGGGACATCAGTGGAAATCAGCTGCACCCTCCAGCACGGGCTCTGTGGCTATCTCTGTTGGCTTAGGATATTTATTTCCCCACTTAGATGCCAACTGAAGTCAGTGGTATTTTCTAGTTATGGTTGAGGCATGATTTATGGACATTTTTATCTGCTTTCCTTGTTGATCACTATGATTTTGAAAGGATGGGTGAAGGGATATGTATTTAGGAGACTACTATTATCACACAGCAAATCAGAAATTCAAAAAGAAATTACCTTGAGGATGAAAGACAAGCAGCAATAACATTAGGTTTATTCTGTAAAAGTATAAAAATGAGAAAAAAATCTTAAAATTCAAAGAAAAAGTTATGCAAATACTTTTTGTAATAGAAGAAACCACTTTCTGGCTTAAATTATTTAAATATAGCATGTTACATTTCACAAGTAAATGTTTAATAAGACTAAATTTCTCATACCAATTTCATTGTACATAATAAGTAGGTGACCAAAACTAATGACATGCCCTGTTTGTTTGTGGTGGCCTTTTGCAGCGTGTCGACTTTAGAGAAACTATAATGAAGACGTTGGGATTTAACGTGAAAACAGCTGACAAAAAAATAATCACTCACCTAAGACTTATTATTCAAGCTTATGAAGCATCTAACAAATCGAAGATTGCTTCTAATTGTGAGGCTGGACAGAGTAATGCATAAAAAAGTTCTACCTCCTCATTGCTGCCAACAAGAACTTAGTAGATAGGGACATTTCCTCTAGCATCTTGAGTATGACTACATGATGAATAAAATGCTTTGGAAAACTTTTACTTGAATCTGTCCTCTCCTTGATATTTGGCATTTAACTTTTCTTTGTCATAATCATAAATATTCTATACATTTATTTATGGTCTAGTATAGATTGTTACTTGTCATATATAATATCCAATTATACTTATTATTAACTATTTTAAGCAGGATATTAGTCAGAACTTGTGTTCTTAGTTGGAATATTTAAATCTATAGTTAACAGCCTATTTCTACAATAAACAGTATGTTGGGTACACCCATTTACAAATACAGGTAAACTTGTATTCTATAATTTCAATCTAATCTCTTTGATAACTGAGTGTGAAAATCAGGTATGAAATATTAAGGGGTAGGAAACTCATGTATAAATGTGCAACAGATTGTATTGTTTTTTATTTTCTTAGTATTTAATAGTGTCTGGCAGTGTTTGCCTAATAGCAGGCCAATTTCTAAGTTAATGGGCTACTTAAATAGTGTAATTTTTCATTTATTTCATTTAAAATAGTTAACTGCTCTTCTTCCAAGGGAGTTTTAGATTTATCCAAGACGTCCTCTGTAGGAATAGGTCAGAATCTGGACAGGCCTGTGGAGACTCAATGCGTGCTGTGGTCATTTAAAAGAATCTCCTGGGGGCTTAGTATTAGGGGGATCTTCAGTGTGGTAGGAGTTGGGTTACATTGGACCTTGCAGTTATAGCACTTTGGAAGAAAATGATTATCTTGAGTACTCATTCAAGGAAAAAATGAGAATCACCGGCTTTTAAATCATCATAGCCATGTTTTTTTGTTTGTTTTTTGTCCTCACCTGAGAATATGTTTGTTGATTTTAGAAAAAGAGGGCGGGAGAGAGATAAACATTGATTTTGTTCCACTTATTTATGCATTTATTGGTTGCTTCTTGTATGTGTCCTGACCAGGGATCAGACCCGCAACCTTGGCATATCAGGACGATGCTCTAATCAACTGAGCTACGTGGCCAGGACACTATGGTTCTCAAACTGAGTGCTAAAGCACTCTGGCACACTGCAAGGATCCCAGCATGCCAAGCAGTGTTTCAAATTTTAAAGGCAAACAGTGATACCTGACACCTGTTTGCAAAATTCTCCAACTATTAGCTCCAAGTAGTTTATAGTTTAAACATTGGGTCACTTTTCATTCATTGTAATGACACTTTTCTGACAAAAACTGCCCAGGGCTTCTCAGGACTTGTAGATTTATTGCCAAGTGAAGGTCCAGCACTTGGTGGTATCACTACTGGGAAATCCCAGGATCCCTGGCTGCAAAGAAAGAAGGTCACTTACTGTTTCTTTTAAGAATATCCCTTGACTGGCAATAGAGGAGACCCTGCTGAGAGCCTCCACCTGTAGCCCAACCTGCTCAACCACCTTCTTTGTTCAGGATTCCCCTGTGTCAGCTGCCTGCTGCCGCCTCAACACAAGGACTGCACTCAACGCAAGGACTGCACTATCCTGTGAGCCAGGCAGGCTGTCCCCACCCCTTTTTCCAGAGTTCCTCTTTGAGGAACTGCAAGTACTACCAGAAGAAAGCTCTCCATGAAGGTCAAGGTACCAAGGTGTAGCAGTTTCTGAAGGAGCCACTTTATTAGCACATTAAACGAAAATATTCTGTAAGTAAAAAGAGGTCTTAGTTTTAATGCTCCTTTATGAATTGCATTAGATTGCGTTAAAAGGAACTGCTTGTTCAACCGCGGAATAGTATAAAAGGAATAAAAGGTAAGCTATGTTAACTCTTGAGCTGAGACGGGAGAGACACCCTTCCAATATCTGGAACAATCTTTACTAGAACTGCTTTCAGTCCTGTGGCCAAATCACTGCCACATTGTTCTTCAATGATGAGAACAGGATTCATATTTAAATAAGCGATTCTCAACCTTTAAGATGTCAGAATCACCTATGGAACTTTCCTTCTGGGCCTATTCAGAGATTAACAGTTCAGTTATTGTGTTTTGGGGCTTTAGTACACATGTTTTTTCAAAGTTCCATACGTGTATAAATGGATAAAAATTACTTTGGAAAACAGTTTGGCAGTGTATAAGTTTCCTGTTCCTTCTGTAACAAAGCATCACTCATATTGTAGCTGAAAAAAAAAAATTCCTCCATTTCTAGAGGTGTCCACCTCAGCAAGAGAAGGACCATTATTAGGACATGACAAGTGCAGCTGCTTATTAAGGAGACAACCTTCCGGTGCGGGGCTCCCATTCAGGATTTCACTGCGGACCGAGCCAAACCGTAGAGGCGACTCCACGCTGCTGCGAGACGCAGACGAGCTCACATGCCAGGCTCACTCCCACCCTTGAGCGAGCCCGCGCTACTGCGCCTGCGCGCTCTTCTCGTAGCTGCGCCCGCGCAACCCAGGGCAGGAGAGTTAACTGGGGACGACGCTGTGCGAAACGGCCGGCGGAAGAGGCGAAGATGACGCAAAGTAACTCGGTGACGACTGGTTGGCGGTAATGATTGGCTGGTTGAAGAAGGCGTTTCGGCTCGCGCCTTCGTGTGGGGCGGAGAACCTGCTGAAGAAGGGGTTCGGCCTCGATTTGAGCCTATCCGGTGCAAAGGCGGATGGGCGGCCTCACGGGAAAACGCGAGAGCGAGCGAGGCGGTCTCCGGGAGGGCTGGGGGCCGGGTCCGTCCCCGGGGGCTGAGGGCGCGGGGCAACCTCTGTAGAGATCGAGTCGGGCTCCCTTGTCGGAGACCTTGGTGTGGCACCGGGCCTGCCCCCCAGGTTAAGCCTGTGGAGTGGGGTCGGCTTCCGGCGTTCTGTCAAACTGGTGCCCGGGGTGGGGGGACCCACCCCAATTCTGAGTCGGAGTGTCTGGGTGGCGCCTGTAACTTTGAAAATCTCATGGGACTGAGGGTTGGCCATGGCTGAAGCCCAGCCCGCTGTGCTAGGCCGGACTGGAGCGCTTCGCTGTCCGGGGAAATCCCGGGATTGGCCCGCGCAGGTCGTCCGCACGGCTAGACACGATTTTGTCGGATCCCCATTCACATCTATTGAACCTGATTCATTAACAGTATTATTGAAACGTAATTTACATACCATAAAATGGAGCTATTTTAGATGTTCAATTCATGACATTTAGCATATTTACAGGAATTGGAGGATCTTTGGAGAAATTTTTGTCTGGTAGTTGCCTTTACCATTCTTAGAGTTTGTACCAGTGGACATTTTCAAGACACAGCATAAGAGCCTTTAAAAATGTATCCTCACAATGTATACCTGAGATGGTGAAATTAAATGGCTTGACGCACAGTTTCCTTAGAAGTTGCAGACAATGAAACATGTGTCTTGTAATGCCAAATAAATATTGACCATTTCGGCTGTCTTGTTTGCTGAGGAATATGGCATAGCCTCATTTTGTAGATGAGGAAAATGACTTTGAAGGGTAAATCCCCTAAGCTGCATAGCTGTGCCTAGGCTATAACCCAGCCCTGGCTGCTTTATCTCCACATGTATTGCCTGGCTGTTGGGGTGGCCATTAACGTGGTCTGAGGAAGAATTCACAAAGAGAAGAACGTGCAGAGAATGAAAGTTGTTATTTTTACGTTCCTAAGGAAGGGAGAGGGCTAGATGCAGATAAATGCCCCAGCCCCAGCCCTGAGGGCCAGGGGCTTTGAGTTTTCATTAAGCGATTGGGGTGGTTGTACAGCAGGATGTTTCCGTCAGTCTTGATAGGAAGAGGTAGGAAAGGACTAAACAAGTCTCTTTATAATTAAACTTGTGATCCTAACTTTGCGGATTTCTTTTTATTGAGCACGATGAACTAGTCATTAAGAATAAAAGATAAAAAGATATAAAAGGAGATAAAGTCAAAATTGCTTTGCAGTTTTAGAAAATCCTCAGGACCTTCTACCCAGGAGAAAGCAAGCCTATGGCAAAGGACTGTAGGTAGCAGGCACCGAAGGATGCTGGTTGCTCTTGTTTCCAAATGATATGTGATGCTGAGAAGATGATTGTGACGGGAAAAGTCACATGGGGTGATGTTTACAGAGCCTGGGCTCCGATGCCTGAGTTGTCAGTGAGTGGTTTTACAGGGCATGGGCCATCTGATTGGGAACCAGGAGTCCATGGGCTCATGCTGTTGTCCTAGGTGAACTTTTTTAAGGATATGAAATGAGAGGGGAGAATCATGTGGAGGGAGACTACTAAATTGAGTTTTCTCCTCAAATCAAAGGGAGTTACAGGTGGTAGGGTAGGAGAGAGGTGCATAATTTAACGTAATATTCTGGATTTAGGTGAAACCAAAACTATGGCAGGCTTTATGGCAGCATATCTTTGGGTCCTAGGGATGGTCTAGCCTAGATTTCCATTCAGGATTCTTTTTAAGAGAGAAATAGGCTCTCTCAGCCCATAAATTCCATGAAACAGCCTGATTAATTCTCTCTTCATGTCTTTCAGTATGGCAATGTCAAGTACCCTAGTTCCATTCAAGTTTCTGTTCGAGGTTCTGAAACAAATTTTGAACCATCATACACCGGAAATAGCTGGATATTGAAATATGGGGTCTGGCAGAAGTAATGCCTGCTTGAGTGTTGTTGGTAGAGTACATAACATCTCTCACAGATGGACAGCAGTGTGAACATTTCACCTAAAATGTCATATGGTGTGCTTCAGTGTGACATTGTTATGTTACAGAATTACATGCTTATGATTTTGTAATAAAATATTTTGTAACAAAAAGGGGGCATTATTTGTGCTGGACCCTGTATGTTTCTTAATGTTGCCCATTTCTGTCTTTATCTCCACAAAATACACTGGGGATGGAGATAGACTTGCAGATTCAAGCAACCTTGCCAAAAAGATCTGCAAACCATCAGAAAAAAAGCTGGAAGTGAAGGAAGCTGGTCAAGGAAAGAAGTGGACCACAGTCCTCACTGTCTTCCCCAAGTAGAGATTAGATGTAGCTTGTTCCCAGAAGAAGATGAAATTCTACCTTGAACAGCAGCTTCAGCCTGTGCCTGAAGAGTTCTAGAGCTCTAACTGCCAACCCTCTGGCTCTTAGACTTGCCTAGCCAGCCAATTGTTTAGACCAATTCCTTGCAATAAATCTCTTTCTCTCCATGTGTGTGTGTATGTGTGTGTAATCTCCATCCCCTACTGGTATTGACTCTGCTTGAACCTTGATTGACACACAGTGACAAAGAGAAACTCTTAAAAGCAGCCAGAAAAGAGCCCAGGTCAGTGTGGCTCAGCTGGGTGAGGCATCATCCCATAAACTGAAAGGTTGCAGGTCTGGTCCTCGGTTGGGGGTGCGTGCAGAAAGCAACCGGTGGATGTTTCTCTTTCTCTCTCTCCTGCCCCCATTCCTCTCTTTTTAAGAGCAATGAAAAACATCAGGTGAGGATAAAAACACACACATAGCCAGAAAACAAATATGCACAGAAAATAAGAATGACAGCAAGTTTCTTATTAAAACATGCAATTGATAGTGGAGCAAAATCTGGTTATATAATTTCAGTTCACAAAAAAAAAATCTGTGAACTGAAATACAAATATCTTTCTAAAATGATGACACAACAGACATGAAAGCTGAAAGAAATAATCACCAGCACGTCTGCTCTACAAGAAATTTAAGTGGATTTATTTTCATTTTTACTTTTAGGTTTACAGAAGAATTACACGAAGTACAGAGTTTCCTTTTACCTCCTCCCCTACCCAACAGTTTCTCCAATTACTAACATCTTGCATTAGTTGGTACATTCATTATCATTGATAAACCAATACTGAAGTCCACAGTTTACACTAGGGTTTACTCTTTGTGTTGTATAGTTTTGTGGGTTTTAACATGCATAGTCATGCATCCACTATTACAGTATCTCACAGAATAATTTCACTGTCCTAAAAATGCTCTGTCCTTCCCCTTCTGCCTGAACCTCTGGTCATCACTGATCTTTTTACTGTTTTCATCATTTTACCTTTTCCAGAGCATCATATAGTTGGCAGTATAAAGTATGTAGACCTTTTTAGACTGACTTCTTTTACTTATAAATACACATTTAAGATTCCTCCATGTCTTTTTTGTGGCTTCATTGCTCATTTCTTTGAAATGTAAGTTTTTCGGGCAGAAGGGAAATGATACCAGACATCTCAATCTACACAAAGGAATTTATATCTATACCGGAAGTAGTAACTACATGGGTAAATGTATAAGATTTTAAAATTTAAATCTCTTCAAAAGATAACTGACCTTTTAAACAAATTGTAGTATAGAGTTTATAACATAAAATCATAAAAATAATCCCAAAGAGCACAAAAGAAAGGGAGGAAAAAAAAAGAGGGACAAACAGAAAATAATTAGCAAGATGCTAAGTTAAACTCTTGTTTTTGTTGTAGAAAACTGGACAAGGGGGAAAAGAGTCTCTTGGAGATCAGCTTGTACATCTTCCCTTTCCAAAACATAATCAAAACGGGTGAGTTTACTCTGGTGTGTGGGAAGAAGTACTTGGGAAGACCTTACTGTACACATTAACCTGTAAGGTTCTCAATGCTGGAGGATGCCTGAAATTCAACCCTTATTTCAATCCTTCTCAGTCTTGGTG